GCATGCAATGCTGGACTAAACTACCCTCTCCCAATTCCAAACTACACCATCAAACATCCACGGTGGTGAAGGGATAATGTGGTAAAGGGGTGTGTGCAGAAGAGTGAAAGGGGGGCAGAGTTAAGGTTGCAGTCACTGTATGGTCTAAAATGTGTGGTAGTTGTGGAACTGGTAAGGAGTGTGTGCCTGTAGGTAGACGGTATGCTTATGTGGGTTTGTTATATCTATAGCAGCCCTAAATGCTTCCTGGCTAAGTGTTTTTTTTTTTCTGGGGGGTGTGTGTGTGTGTGTGTGTGTGTGTGTGTGTATTAAGAATTGCATCTGCAGTTACATTGGTGAGGATTGCAAATTTATAAGAACTATCAATCCTCATGTTTCAGGATGTAACTGGACTGGGACCAAGGGGTTCAGAGGGCAGGAGGGGGATCAGGGCTGGGGGAGGGGGTGGGGCATGGGAGGGGATTGGGGGGCAGGCTCTGGACAGCACTTCAAGCAGCTCCCAGAAACAACGGCATGTCCCCCCTCCAGCTCCTACGTGGAGGTGAGGCCAGGTGGCTCTGCGCACTGCCCTCTCCACAGGCACTGCCCCTGCAGCTCACAGGGGGGGCTGCAGGGGCGGTGCTTGGGGTGGGGGCAGTGTGCTGAGCCCCCTGGCTACCCCTATGCATAAGAGCCAGAGGGGGGACGAGCCACTGCTTCCGGGAGCCATGCAGAGCAGGGCAAGACCCTGACCCTGCTCCCTTTCTGGAGCACCAGAGCGGGGCAAGTCCCAGACCCCACTTCCCGGTGGGAACTCGAGGGCTGAATTAAAATGTCTGGAGGGCCGGCTGTGGCCCCCCGGGCCGTAGTTTGCCCACCTCTGGGATAGAGGCATGAGATAAAGACAAACATTCCCCTAAAGATTACAAATGGGTAGGAAGAAAGAATAAAAATGTGCATGCTATTCCCACCCCCTAAATGCTACATTGTCTTTCAAAGGCTTTACATAAACATAACCTAGGGAGCTATGCTGATATATACCCCTTCAGAGGGGGACATGTTGGTTATCCTCATCTTCTCAGTTCTTGGACAGGCTTTCTCTCTAAAATTAAACACTGACTAGAATGAGGGTCAGTGGGGCACACGAGGGAATGCGTGATCTGTGCACCCACAAAAATAAACTGCAACTGGAGGAGGGGAACACAAGCATGTAAACAAGTGAAATGGAGCTGGCTAAGGAAATGTGTAATTCCCCCTGAGATCTCACTAGAGGCACTGTCCTTACACCTGCTGAGCCAGGCCGTTCTCTCTCTTCCCTGTAAACAATTCCTGAATAAGAGAAGAGTGCCTGGTAGCTGGACTGAATACTGAGCAGAGTGTGCAGAATGCAGCATAGCACAGGGCTATTTTCACTGAATGTGTCTGTTCCAATGTGAAACAACAGGCACTAAATAACCGTGAGAGTCTTGGAAACAGAGATTGGGGAGAATCTCTTCTGGAATTTCCCCAGGGGGAAGAAATCAACTAACAAATACCAGGTGATGCATGAAGAGGCTTTTAATACCCTGGAATCTTCCGATCACTCTAATTAAACACCAGGACTCTTGAAATCTAGAAAACAATGAGATTTAAAATAGATTGAAGTGGGGGAGGGGAGGGTTATTTGCATCAATAAACTGAGCTTATTTGCAACTTACTACTTGTCTATTTCAGAGACGCTTTAGCCATCCAAGCTAGTATTTTCCTGATGCACCCTCACTGCAGACCTGAGAAAAACAGACTTGAATATAACCCGGGTCCAATGCACCTTTAATTACAAACACCCCCCATTTGCTGGGTTGATCTTTCTGCTGCAGTCTCCTGAGACCAGTTCTGCAGCAGGAATGCTGGCTCAGGCGTCGACTGACATGATCTCTTCCCAACATCTGATACTTAATCTATTTTTTTCAAATGACCGAATCTGACCTGCCCTCTATTCTAGTACAAGGTGCCAGTTTATCTGTCTATGGTTTGAGTCAGGAGTAAAACAGGTCACTCAGCATCAGCTTCTGAAAAGTGGATGTGAAGAGCAACAATACATGCGCAGGATGAGGAGTGAAATGGAGCTGTTAGAAAGGAGTAGGAAACAAACATCAAAGGAGAATTGAGGCAATGCAGTCATAGCCTCACTACCTCTCTTTCATGTCTGATAGCAGGTACCTGCTTAACCCATAATAGCAGGGTGGGGATCTTTCTGTAATGACTGCACTGCATAAGAGCTTTCATTGGCTACGGCTGGCAGCTGGCTATTGTAGTGCTATAGCTAAGCAGTACAGGCTTGTGCTTTTAGTGCTGAAAGGCCTGGGTTCAAATCCTGGTATCAAGCCAGCTGGTTACAGGTATGCTGGATTTAATGCATCCCTTTGGTTTTTGTATCTAACATTTAAACCTGGGCTTTCTAGGCTCCAGGAAATTGCATGTTGGGGGACAGGAGGAGAGGTCAGGTCTGGGGCCATGTCCCTTGACTTCCTCCAAAATGCTAAAGAAACATGTACCTATTTCTCACTCAGGTGATGGGGAGAGTATATAGACATCAGCCTTGGGACTAACTCTAAAAAAGTAACATGTTTTTATTGCCCTCTCTGAGCTGACGTGCAAAATAATTGGCTCTCCGTATAAATGTTGCCATCCCTTTTCCAAGGAGGAATTCAGGCTAAGGGGGACACACTACCGGTGAATTGACACAGCTCCATAGACTTCAGTGACGCTATCCCACTTTGTACCCACTGAGGATCTGGTCCCCTCTGACTACAGCTAGCGTTAGGGATGTGCAGTGCCATCCTACCTGCCACCACCTTGCTGATGGTGCCCCCTGGATGCCCAAAGAGCTGGGAGCAGTGGCAATCACATTTCCTCTTTGAAATAGGTAGAAGCTGAGAAAAGTGAGAGCAGTGTTTGTGCTGGAGAGCTCATTTTGGGGTGGGGGGGAAGAGGGGGGAGGGGAGAATCTTGGTGAAGTTCGGGTCTCTGAGCCTTTGTACTTGCAGGGTTTGGATTTCTCAGGGGCTAAGAAATTCATTTACCTCTCCCCCCACATTCTGAGATTATGCTAAGGCAGGGGTGGGCAAACTACAGTCCAGGGGCCACATCCAGCCCTTCAGACATTTTAATCCGGCCCTCCAGCTCCTGCTGGGGAGCGGGGTCTGGGGCTTGCCCCGCTCCACACGTGCCGTGGCTCTGCACGGCTCCCGGAAGCAGCGGCATGTCCCTGCTCCAGCTCTTATGCGTAGGGGCAGCCAGAGGGCTCCACACGTTGCCTCTGCCCCAAGTGCTGCCCCCGCAGCTCCCACTGGCTGGGAACTGGCCACCTGGACGCATCTCCACGTAGGAGCCAGAGGGGGGAGATGCCGCTGCTTCTGGGAGCTGCTTGAGGTAAGCGCCACCCAGAGCCTGCACCCCTGACCACCTCATGTGTCCCAGCCCTGATCCCCCTCCCACCTCCTGAACCCCTCGGGCCTAGCCCAGAGCACCCTCCTGCACCTGCAACCCCCCAGCCAAAGCTTGCACCCCCAGCTGAAGCCCCCACCCTCCCCCCACACCCTAACCTGCTGCCCCAGCCCGAAGCCCCCTCCTGCACCCTGAACTCCTCATTTCTAGCTGCCCCCCAGAGCCTGCACCCCCAGATGAAGCCCTCACTCCCTCCTGCACCCCAACCCCCAATTTTATGAGCATTCATGGCCCACCGTACAATTTCCATACCCAGCTGTGGCCCTTGGGCCAAAAAGTTTGCCCACCCCTGTTCTAAGGCAATTCAGGGAGCAGCCCCAGTGCCTCTTGTGACAGGGAGGGGAGGCAAATTGAATGCTGTGATAGCTGCAGTGGCCTCTGAATCCTGATTCTTATGAATGTGTTGGAAAGTGAGGAGGGCAGAGCAGAAGTGGGAGAAGAGACCATCCGCAGGATGGAAAAATACTGGCCAGCCCTTCTAGCAGGCCGTACCGACCGCTGTGCGCTTCCCTGCCATCCCCAGTCCTAGGATGTCAGCCGCCCTGAACTCCATTCCCCCTCCTCCCTGCGGAGCCAGGATCTGAAATTAAAATGAATGTGGTCAAAGCTCTGTTGTTTTTGTATAGCCAGGGGGAAAGCTGGGTACTGGGCTGGCGCTCCCCACCCCTGCCCAGCAAACCTTTGGGTGTCCTAGTCAGACAGCTTTCCCCTCTCTGCCCTGTTTAGCGAGCGCGGCTTGTTTTTGTGCATGCGGTTATATAAAGAAAGGGCAGCTGTTAACATTACCACTTTGGATAGCAGGGAGAGTTGATCCTGTCCCCACTTTCCAAGAACTGTTAGAGGGGGGGAAACAACCCCCTCCCCCTGCTTTCGAAACCCGGCTTGGCCTTTCCCTCCCCAGAAGCACCTAGTGCCTGGGGAGAGTTCTTGCTTGCCAGAAAAGAGCGGCACAGGGAGTGTAAGCAGACAGCCGGGGATCTGCAATGCTGGGAATCCAGGGGGGGGGGGGGGAGGCAAACTTCACCCTAAACAGAGTTTTACTGTTACCGGAATTACAATGCAAACCCAGAGCCGCACCTTCCTCGGGCGGCAGCGCCAGCAGAGTCCCAGAGCCGCTGTCTCTGGGGTGCTTCCTTTGTTTTGAAACGGGGCACAGTGAGAACCGGCCCACACCGCTCTCGGGATCGACTCGCAGGGCTCCGGCAGAGGGGGCCAGGGCATGCACAAAGGGGCCAGTGTGCGGCTTCAGGAGCAGGCAATTCATTCTCCGCCTGCTGCTGCACTGAGCTTGTTTTCCTCTCCCTGCTGGAGAAGGCGGGGTCCCCCGGCCCAGCAGGAGCTCGCTCTTGTTTTCCTCTTTCCCCGCTCCCCCCTGCCAGCCCAGCCCAGCCCAGCTCTCCTCTCCCCCTCCCGCCCCCTTCGCCCTGTCTTCGCTGGCCCAATGGCTGGGATCCACGGGCCGCCCATCAGCTGATCCTGTCGTGCTCACGTCTTGAGGAAGCCAATCGGACAGCCCGGGGGCCGGCACGGGCAGCCGATAAATGGGCGAGCAGGGAGCTGGCTTCTCCAGAGCCGAGCATGGGAGCACCTCGGGGAAAGTGAGTACTCGCCCATCAGTCCACCCAGCCTGCCTCTCCTCTGCATCTCCTCTCCCTGCTCAGTAGCCAAGGTAACTGCTTCTGTTCCCACGGGGCGGGGGTGATGGCAAATCTCTGCCTGTTCTCTCCCATGCATTGGGTGGCTTTGCGGGGGGACGTGTACTGGGAATGTGTCGCCCCGCGTATGGGATTGGGAGGGGGGGTGCTCCAGGCTGCTTCGATGCTGTTCACAGGCAGTGGGGTGGGCTAGGAGGACGCTTTGCTTAATGTGGCGTTGTTGGGTTTTGCTGCTTTCCCTTAGAGGATGGTCCTGCCCCTGCTCCTCTTAAATCAATGCACCCTGCGTCTGGCAGGCTGTTTGTACAGCGCCGTAGAAATCCCGCAGGGCTGGGTCCCACAGGGGGCTCGGCTCGGGTCTGCAAGGCTGTATTAAAAGGTGACTTTGCGGATGGAACTTGTCTTTTCCTGAAATGCCTCTCCGTGTGTTTCCCTATTTCATTGTCTTGCTTCCAGTCAGTCTCCGATTCCTCGAGCAGGGAGATTCCTGCCTTGACGACAAAGGGACGGCTGGGTGTGTGGTACCTTTATTCCTGCTGGTGTCTGGGGCGGGTACGCCGGTATAGCTCCCCTTTCTAGGCTGCTGTGTTTGGCTGCTTTATGTCTCCGAAGCAGCCACTCCAGGGGGCAGCTCCGATTTAGCTCTGTAAAGGGGAGGGGAAACTAGGTCGCTCAAGATCTTCTAAGGGGCTTCTCTTTGCTGGAGCTTTCTGGGGGAGAAGATCTCCTCACCGTTGCTCTGCACAAGGCTCCTTAGCAGTTTCCTTAAAAAACCGGGAGTGCTGGCTCCTAAGGAAGGAGAACAGGGGAGGAGGGATTTGCGTGAAGTGAGAAACAGCCATAGATCAAATTTCTTCGCTGACCATAAAGAGAAGCCGTGGGGGGCAGCAGTGGGTCCTTCAGTTGGAAGCTTTTACCGGTCCAAACCTGGACTGCCACCGTAGAGGCATGAAATCAAATGGGCAATAAATGCAGTGACAGCAAGGGGGATGCAGAGAGGGAAGGGGAATCCAGGGAGGTTTGTATCATGGGGGGTGGTCTGCCTTCTGGCCAGTTGTAGGGGAGAAGCAGGCTGGTTCTGAGACCCCAGCTGTTTCCAGGCTCCAGTAACCGCAGTGCTGCTTTTATTGCCAAGAAATAAATAAAGGCAGGGAAGGGGCTGAACAAAATCTTGTCTGTGCCGGTCAGAGGGGTGGCTGCTTCTGAGAGTAACAGAGAGGGCTCGACTCGGGGGCCTGCTGGGAAGGCTGGGATAGGGTTGGCAAGGGCCAGCAGGGCTCCATGACGCCCGGCACAGCTGCTGGTGTGACAGAGGCAAATCTGCATTCCTCATATGGGACAAGGGAGTACAGTGTCTTCAGCCAAAGCAGCTACTTCTCAGAGTCAGGGGCTTTTGCCCCAAGTATGCAGAGCCAGGGGGATGTAAAAGATCCCCAGTGACCTCCAGTTGCATCCTCTGAATCTGCTACAGCTCTCCCTGTATGTGAGCAGGGCTCCTCTGCCTCCAGATGCTCCATGGCTGAGAGGCCTCTTGAGTCTCTGCTGTTCAAAGGTTACTTACTTTGCCTTGGGCTGTAGTTAGGGGCCCCTCTCATCTTACTTAGATAACAGTATTGTATATCTTCAGATCACATGGCCTGGAAATGGAGCTGTCTCTGGCAAATGGTCCTTACTGGAATGGGGAAGGACCACAGAAGGCCCTATCTAAGCCAAAGTGGGCAAAAACGCTGCTCCAGGGCAATGTATGTTCTGAAATTGCATTTTGTGAGTGAAGAGTTCACAGTGGAGTCAAGGAGCCCTTCTGAGGGGCTGCTGATCTCTTAACGATCATAATAGCTAGAGAGGGAAAAGACCAAGTCCATCAGCTGCCAGGGCAGGACCCAACCCCTCAGTAGATGAGATCTCGGATATCCTGAGACCACAGGAAATCTTTGAAACCAAATTATTGTTGTAGCTGGTCCCAAACCATGTTATTGAACTGCCGTATTGATACACTGTCTGTTTCGTATAGTGTAATCTACTGTATTCAGATTCACAACTGGTGTAATCAGCTATGATGCTGTCTGGGATATTCCAGCATAACTGTCTAGGGGACACTCAGTGCACACATCTCTCTTCTGTTGCTGAGCTGTGAAGATCTCCCACTTGGTCATTCTCTTGTATAAGGGTGTGAGAACCCATTCGGAACACAGAAGTATTCATGGTTGGCTTTTCCCTCCCCTCCTGGCAGGACCCCAGTAACACACCCCGCAGCCATGGCCACCTCAGCGAGTTCCCACCTGAGCAAAGCTATAAAGCAGATGTACATGAAGCTGCCTCAGGGTGAAAAGGTGCAAGCTATGTACATCTGGATTGATGGGACTGGGGAGCACCTGCGCTGTAAAACCCGGACGCTGGACCAAGAGCCCAAGAGCATTGAAGGTAAGAGGGCAGGTGTATGGGTGAATGCTGGGACTACAAGCAGTTGCACCCAGTGGGTTTGCAGCAATATAGGGCTTGGCTTGGGTTCAAGCATCTGACCACAGAGCTGTAAAACGCTGCTGTGCTGTTGGAAGACAAAGCTCCTTCTCTTTGAGTTGGGAGTGGGGGTCTCTCCCACATGGGGGAAATCTGGACCAGAGACAGTCAGTGCATTCCCGCCCTTGAGTTCTTTGTATCGAGTGCGTGATGTGGGATAGCTCCCACCTCGCTCCTGGTGTGTGTTTGGGAAAGTGGACAGGCTGAGCGAGATGCACTTCATAATCTCCTGATGTGGAAGGAGATCTGGAAGACCACTCTTCTCCTTGTGGGGCAGAGGTGTAAGTAGAGCTGGGAATCGGTGACGTGTCCCCATCTGCACTAAAGGGGTGTCTGTCTGCAGGGTATTCCCAGCCTGCTGGCTCTTTACCTGTAAAGCTGTTCTGGCCCTGGGGAGATGGCAGGAAGGAAATGATGGGAAGATAATATATCCAGTGTAATTAAGAGCTTGTGTGTCTCAGAACAAACAGCCCCAACTGACATGATAATAGCATTCGGATTTCTTCACTTGTTGCCATGGCACTGGCCAGGACAGTTATAAAACCAAAGTACTGTGCATGAGCAATCAGAATTATCTCCCTGCCTCACCGAGGAAGTGGCTGGCACAGCTTGTTTGGCACCCATAGCACATGGAACGGGATAACAATGGGGGCAGAGTTAATTTCTTCACAGTTGCTTCACATGTGCTCGCACTGCAAAAGCAGTATTCAGTGGGGGGCCTGAGCCATGCTCAACTGGAGGGGCATAGGTAGTGTAAAGGGGATGTTCTCTCCCCACAGTCACTGGACTATCCAATTGATGATATTCCCCCTTCAGGCAGCTCTAGGCCTTGTGCATTCTCCCAAGGTTCCCTTCACCGGGTCTGTGCAGTTGCATCAATGTGGAGGAGCGTGTTTCAGGGCCGTCCAGCAGTCTGGAGACAACTGAGGACACCAGACTCCCTCTCTCATTCCTTTTGACTTATAGCATCTCCCTGATTCCCTTTGTTTTGGCTAGGGAAACCCATCGGGGTCTTCATCTTACTATAGCCTGTTGGCTACAAGATAGGAAGTGTTCGTCAAGGACGTCTGCAGTGCAGTAAGCTGAATCGGACTTCGCTGATGTCCCAGCTTTTTGTTTTTCCACAGCGTAGCAAAGAGCAATTCCCTCACCCCATCTTTCAATGGGAGCAAAATCAACAAAGTACAGTGTGTGCCAGTGTCCTTTAACAAGCAATCTTTTTTGCACAATGGTCGTGCTGAATCAGCTGGTGAACTCATCTTGGTGGTTATGGAAAGCTGCTAACCTAAAGGGGTGAATTTTTCTCTCTTGCTCTAGATCTACCTGAGTGGAACTTTGACGGCTCTAGCACCTTCCAGTCTGAGGGTTCAAACAGTGACATGTACCTTCTCCCTGCTGCCATGTTCCGGGACCCTTTCCGCAAGGACCCCAACAAGCTGGTTCTTTGTGAGGTCTTCAAGTACAACCGCAAGTCAGCAGGTATGGTGCAGTGCCTCCCCTGAGAGTGGCTGCAGTAGTTCTGGGAGGGGTGAGAAGGCTTGCTCCCTCTTGGAGTAGAGGAGGGTGGGTGGAGGGGTAACTGTCAGAACAGTAGTTAATGGAAGACTTTACCAAGCACCATTAATGCATTAACACTGTACAAGACATACAAATATTCCTGCCCTGAAGAGCTTGGCTATAAAGAAAACAAGATACAGTAGGCAACGCCAAGGGACAAACTAGCTTAGATGTTTATCTATTCTGGTCTAGCCTCTCTTGTCACTGGCAACACGGAGATGGAGGAGTATGACATAGGTCAGTGCTTGGGAATATTGAAGGACTCGTCAAGAGGAACTCCAATGCTGGGAGGGATGTGGGGACTGGGAAATCATTCTATGGGGCAGCATGGAAGGGAGTGGGGAAAGAAGTGAATTGGGTGGTATCACTGATTGGTGGGAATAATGTGAACCTGAAGGAACAAAACCTCTGACATGTGAGATGTAGGCCTGGTCATGGACGAGTAGCTTCTGTGCACATGATTGCCAGCATATGGTTCAAGAGACTAAGAACATTATGGAACAGTACAAGGAAGTCCATAAGATGGCATCAACAACCAATAGGAGCACCCACTATTTAAGGCCAGCAGCCCTACCTACCACTTAGATCGTATATTGGCTAATGATGATGGTCACAGGGCAGTCTCTTTGGGTCTGAATTTCTGGGCTTCCCTAGAGGTCTGGGTGGGGAAATGAGTCCCCCAGACAGCCTGTATGGTAGTGGCTTTGTCCAGAATACATTGGCAAGTCATAGCTTCCATGGTGGGATAAGAATCTGAGCTGTTCCACCAGAGCAGCTCACCGGACTCCTTTTTTTACCAGTAGCTAGAAGCTACTCGTCCATGACCAGGCTACATCTCACATGTCAGAGGTTTTTGTTTGTGGCTAAAACATTGGTGAGCTAATAAGCTTTGTGCTTTTCTTCCATTCTAGAGTCAAACCTCCGGCACACCTGTAAACGGATTATGGATATGGTGTCCAACCAGATCCCCTGGTTTGGGATGGAGCAGGAATACACTCTTCTTGGGACAGATGGACATCCATTTGGCTGGCCTTCCAATGGCTTCCCTGGGCCCCAGGGTAAACTTCCAGGAGTTAATATCTGAACTAGGAATAAGAGATCTCATGAATACTTAACCCCAAATCATAATGTTATCAATCACTAATTAATGGGATTAATTGGAAATGTTTAAAGTGAGACGAAAGATTCAAGGAGTTGCTAAAATTGGATCACCAAAAGCTATGCTGACAATGACCAAAACTAAACAATGAAAGTAATCTTTAGTGGCTGTATGGTAATCTTATGACATATAGACCAGACACACATCCAGTGTTAGTTCCATTAGTCTGCAATTCATTTAAATGTGACCAGTTGGGCAGGGTTTTCAGAAGTAGGAGCCAAAGTCCCACTGACTCTGACTGGAGTCACGCTCTGGAGGTACTTTGTTCTACTATTACCCCAAATGAAAGCAGTATAGAGACTTTCCTGCGACCTGTGCCTTCTGAGAATCCTTTCCTAACTACTCTGTGCTCTTCACTGCACTCAATCACAAGCTATTTGAAGACTATGTTCACCTTTCTTGTGCTCTGTGCTACTGCAGGTCCATATTACTGTGGCGTAGGAGCAGACAAGGCCTATGGCAGAGACATTGTGGAAGCGCATTATCGTGCATGTCTCTATGCTGGTGTTAAAATTGGAGGAACAAATGCAGAAGTGATGCCTGCACAGGTAACTACTTTGGCTTCACCTGCCATTGCAGTCAGCTGGCACCAGCCAATGATGCAATGCAGAAGCTCATGCTGCTAAACTCTGCCGCTGCAGTCAGTATGTACCCTGGGGCTTTGCAAATGTTGAGAGTGCAGGAGGGTGCAGAGGGGGTGAACAGCATCTTGCAGCAAATGGTTCTTCACCAGACTGAGCCAATGGTTCGTTTTTTGTTTTTGTTTTTCTCTCTGCTCTCTGTAGTGGGAATTCCAGGTGGGCCCGTGCGAAGGGATTGAGATGGGGGATCACCTCTGGATTGCACGCTTCATCCTACATCGGGTGTGTGAAGACTTTGGGGTAATCGTGTCCTTCGATCCCAAACCCATCTCTGGGAATTGGAATGGAGCCGGTTGCCACACCAACTTCAGCACCAAGTCCATGAGGGAGGAAGGAGGCCTCAAGTAAGTTTCTCTGCAACTGGGCTAGTTGCATCAGTCTGGCAAACTCAGCTAGGGAAAGTGGACTTTACCAACAGCAGCAAGACTTCTACAGAGCTGAGACTGCACCTGAGGCACTAGTTGGCTTGCCAGGGGAATAGTGACATGTCTTGCTCCATGCAAGAGATTTTTGGCTTGAATACCCCCCCCAGAGATTCTAGATTTTAATTACCTGGAACTGAACTCCCTTCCCACTGTAGCTGTTGCACCCAGAGGTTGTCTGCACTGAAGACTGAGGAAATTCCCCCAGTAGTGGTCTAACACTGGTACAGTTCCACCAACACTAGCAATGGTGGAAGTGCTAATAGACAAGGGGCAGCTGTTCTTACCACTGTCTAACACTGGATTACCCACCTCTGTAAAAAGGCCTGTACTCCATCTATAGTAGGAGTTTATCTCGTGCTAGACCAAAGGAGGGAGAATTTCTGCCTCACTGTAAACAAGGCCAAATATTGAAAGTAGATTCAGATTGGACTATTCTTAGACCATTGGCTTACAGATTCCACTGTACTTGAGAGTCTGGGACTTTGTTTTTCAGGGACTAGATTGTACTTTTCAGGTACAATGGAATTCTGTTAAGGATCCACTTGGGCATTTCTCTGCCCACTCCTCCCCCGTAACTTCAATGGGTGCATTCAGATTATCACTACACTTGCAGAACTCATAAGCTTCTGAAATAATAAAACGTGTCGAAGCACAACCTGTGTCTTCCCAAGGATAAATTTACCAGGCATATTTAGTGGCAATGCAACTCAGCCAAATTATTGGTTCTAACTGGTACCCCCACAAGCTGTAATGTTCTTTACCTCCAGTCAGTGAGAGTCTTACCTGCCTTTGGGATCCCCCCAAAAATTCTGAGAGCCTCACTGGTCAGAATAGGCAAGGAGGGGAAAACACCCAGCCCCACATGCAGGGGAACTAGCTGTAGGAAAGTAGGATTTGAACCATGTAACCAAGTGATACAGTGGATTCAGTTTCCCAAAGAAACTCACTATCAATGAGAGGAAGGGTCCCATGGCTGGTACTAGCTGGAATGGGAATGCTTGCAGATAAGGGACTGAAACATGGGATTTGTGTGCTTGGGTGGGGTGTGGGAGAAAGCCAAGTGGGTGAGTTCCTGCCAACATTATCCGTGGCCAAGTGAACAGCAGCACAGCCAGTGTTCTTGCCAAAGGCTCACAACCTCCCGCCTTCTGTCTCCAGGCATATAGAAGAGGCCATTGAGAAGCTCAGCAAACGGCACCAGTACCATATCCGCGCTTACGACCCAAAAGGGGGGCTGGACAACGCCAGGCGCCTGACAGGCTTCCACGAGACATCCAGCATCCACGAATTCTCTGCTGGCGTGGCCAACCGTGGGGCCAGTATCCGTATCCCCAGAAATGTGGGCCAAGAAAAGCAGGGCTACTTCGAGGACCGCCGGCCCTCTGCCAACTGCGACCCTTATGCTGTGACGGAGGCACTAATCCGTACATGTCTTCTCAGCGAAACCGGGGATGAGCCCTTTGAGTACAAGAACTAAGTGGACTGCCCCCCGACAGACACCGCCTACCCCCAAATGTCCCTTCTAGATGTAATTTTGAGGGCACAAGTTACCACTTTGTTTGTGTCCCAGTAACTCTTGTTGTGTTGGGGGGAGGGAGCATTTAGTTCTTGTTGATGTCTCATTGTTGATGCTTGAGAGGAGGAGTGTGCGTTAGAGAAGAATTTTAACCACTGTTTTGTCTAATTCATCTGTATGTCTGATAGGACCCAGTGGCTTCCATGGACACAGGGTGATAGGCTGAAGGAAGGTGGATGGACAAGAGGCTGTAGTGGGTTTTGCCCAAGAGAGTCTAACCCCCATGATAATGACATACATAACTCAGCTCTCCATAGACCAATTGTCCTCGGATTAGAGTTATTCGGGGGCGAAAGGAGTAAAGCAGCTATGATAGATTCTGACCCCTTTGCACACTTACACATGGTGGGAAATTTCCCTTCTCTGGCTTTGATAAGACTCTTGGGCATCTTCTTGCATTCTGCTGTCCCAGCTAAATGTGGGAGCTGGTAGCAAAATTCCTCCTTGCTCTGTCATTGGAAGCCACTCGATCTCCTGTGTATAACACAGAGTGAAGTAGTATTTTTTTTATATTTAAATGTAAAAACAAAAAAAACTATATATAAATTTTTTTTAAAAAAAAAAGACGTTCCAATAACTCAGCCAGCTAGAGCAGGCGGGTTCCTGAAGGTACTGTTGGAGGTGGAACTCCAGCGTGGGCTAGAGCAGAGGGTAGAATGGGGGGGTGGGTGGGGGTACAGGAGGTATGTTCTTTTTTTTTTTTTTTTTTTTTTTTAAACTTAAACTCGAGCTGATACGGGCGCGTGGCGTGGCTGAAACACAAGAAGATGCTCTAAATTATGAGTTGGCTGGTCAACTTAACTGTGTTAGCGATGGGGTCATGGGTGTTTTATTTTCCACTGGGATTAGCATGTCACTAAAGCAGGGCTTTTGATAAAAAGAAACAAGTTTTAGATTTTAATAATGTTTTTAGGGTTTCTAAAGTTGTACAGTTTTACAGAGACCATTGGTGTTAACTGTTGATATGTCCAGGCACGCAAACTGCCTGCCACCTAGCCAGGACTACACTAATGAGGGGGCTCTGTGCCACCCTGCCCTCCCCCCCAGGCTGCCCCTAAGTTCTCAGGGGAATGCCTAGTGGGTTCAAACGTTCTGAGATTTTGGATGATGCCAATATATGCCATTGCATTTGGATTTACAAATAGTTTCTTTTATAATAACAAAAAACCTTAATTCTGACTTCTTTCTCTCTGTGGTTTTATTCCTCTGAAATGTCATGGCGTGGGCTCTTAGCTATCTGGAGGGATTTCAGCCTGGATTTCCTCTCTCTCCTGGGATAAGATGGGGAATCCTGGACACACATGTTCATTCTCTGGGCAAAATGCCATCGTTTGCCTGGAGGAACTCTTGGGATTAGGGTTGCCAATTTTGGTCAGATGTAGGTTTCATTGCATGACATAATCTTTAATTCCTGGAGACTCCTGGACAATCCAAGTAGGGGTGCCAACCCACCATGGATGAGCTGGGGAACTCAGACATGGGATCTTCATTTAAAAAGCCCCCCCCAAATCTGAAGCCATTCAGTTGTGTAAGAACACATTTTACAAAGCCGTTTGGCCAAATTCAGCTCATTATGCCTGCATCTGTGTACCTGAAATGGGGCTGTGACCTGCTATTGTTCACATTAGCTTTCCTCTAGTTGTCTGCCCCGAAAGAGTCCAACAAATCAAACCCCCTTCTCTTCAGAAGAGGTTAATGCGGGAACCTGGGGCTAGTAGCAATGACTTGCCTCATACAATTTTCTAAACAGAAGGCCTAAGTGGTGTTGACTGCCTGCAAATCCTGCCTGTTTCACTTGGGATCAGGGTCACTGTGATAAAGAATTAATCACACATTTCCTAATTCAAAAGTCAGACTCCTAGGGTGGGATTTTTCAAAAATGCTCCATGTTAGCCTTCCTCTGCTCCCATCTTGGGCATTTTACTGTTGACTTCAGTGGAAACCACTAAGCCAAGGGCAAGCGCTTTTGTGTATCACACACATAATCTTTCTAGACAAATGTTTATCATTCTTAACTTCCCACGCTACTTGAGATGGGCCTCACCTTCCTAAAACCATAGAGTCCATGTGTTGAAAGTGACCTCTAGCTCCACCCCCTTGGAAGACTCCATGAAGCATCTACTTTCCTAGTTGTGCCAGATAGCCTCTGGTAGGAGATGCCCTCACAGAATTCACATATTGTTACTGGAGAAACCCTGGTGCTCAGTGCATGGGGCAAGTCTGTACCTAGGGTTCTGTGGTAGCCTAGATGCCAACAGGTTCCCAAAGGTGAAGGCTGGTAATATAAGAGCAGGCTAGCTGGGTCTGACTATCCAGGTCCCTCAATAGAAGAATGGATGGGAAAATGAGTGTTTGCCCCATACAGCCTGGATGGCAGCAAAGACTTTCATAACCCCAGCCATCAAAAGAAAGGCTGCATGCATGATTCAGATGGGCTGTTGCTCTAGCCTCTAAGGCATACTAGGCCTGATCGTGCTGGCACCGTTGAGAAGGGGGAAGCTTGGCCATTACACGCCCCAAGGAATGCTGGTTGTCTGAGCGGGGAAGAGTACAGCTCACTCAGGTTTTTCTGTTGTGCTGGAGGTTTGTGGGGCCCTTTACTGTGGCCATGGTACTTTGTGCAAGGCTGGGCTTCTCACAGGTGCAGAGGAGAGTTATGTGCCCAAAGCCAAGGAGATGTGGGAATTAAATGCTGACCTGGCTTCTGTGAGTATCCCAGCCTGAATGCTTCGATAAAGGTGAAAAACGTAACTCTCCTCAGAGCTGAGAGGATTTCTGCTTAAACACTGACTCACCTGTTTTCCTAAAACAACAAAGCAGCTTTCCACACACAAAGCCACCCTTCATGGCAGCGGCCCTGCTGTGGGTGCACAACTCAGAGATTAAAGTGTAAGTAGCCCTCCCTGGAGGGGCAGTGTGGGCTGGCAGCTAGGCTAAGGGAATGGGAGCCAGAAATGTGAGTTCTAGTCCCAGCTGTGCAATACGCTTGCTGCGTGACCTTGGACAAGGTAGTTTAACATCTCTCCCTCCTCTTCTGTCCTGGTAATGTGGGGAGGCTGCTTACTTAACGAGTGGCCTGTGGCTTAAATCATAAACCGGGTCTGTCCTCGGTTAGCGATGCTACGGAAGTGCATGTTGTTATTAAAGGCCAGTCTGAATCCTCTCCTGCATATGATGCTTTGTCTACCCGTAGATCACAGTGCTTTGGGATAGTTTTGGGCTACTGTAATATGCTGCCTATGGATCACTCCCCTGTTTTTAACATGCAGCTACTTCCGGGGTGGAACATGTCAGCAACACAAGAGAAGAATGAATTGTGCAGAGGGGCTTTAAGGTAGCAGAAAGTGATTAACACTCTTGACCAAATTCAAATTTGGGGTAATGTTCCTGCTCATGTCAGACGTGTCATGGGTGTCGTATGACCAGCCGTGAGTGGTGATGATCTCAGCCTTACCCCTGTGACCGGGAGCACCAGCGCCGTTCTTTCTGTGCTTCCTCCCTCCATCCTGGCTGTCAGTTCAGCACTGCCAAGCATTCTCCCACCCCCACCTGCCCCCATCACTGTCCTACAGAGCCTGGGATTTCATTGGACATCTTCCCTCCAGCACCGATCAGGCCTCACCCTGGGTAAGCTTGAGATTTGACAAGCTCCCTGCCCGTTGTGGCTAGGGCGAATAGACAGCAAGTGTGAAAAATTGGGACAGTGGGTGGGGGGTAATAGGAGCCTATATAAGAAAAAGACCCCAAAATCAGGACTGTCCCTATAAAATCGGGACATCTGGTCACCCTAGTTGTGGCACACATGTAGGGTGCCAAGAATCCAGCTGTTTCTTCTTCTTCATCTTGACATCCCTCTTTTGTTTCTTATGGAGTCTTTCCCCTCACATCTTATTCTTAAAATAGCCCAAGGCTGCACGTTCCCTCAGATCTTCCATGAACACTAGTCCTGTCCCCCTGCAAAGCTAGCAGCCGAATAACATCCTTCCCAGAGTAAGCACTCCCAGAGCACCCTGAATTTGCAGACAAAAAGCCACCCCAAAACTCCTGTGCATGCTGTTATCTTTAACAATCACCCATTTGAGGCTCAGAAAGGCCAAAGATCTGCTTGAGTCCCTCTCTCTCCCAATTCTTTCCCTAATTCTTGTAGCAAGTGGGGGCCACATGCTCACCTTCGTTACATGTGCGAATGAGCAAAATAGTAGAAAAAGCCCCTGAACACGTGGCTTTTGATAGCAGAACTACTCTCCACTGGACATTCCCAAATGTGGCTGAGATATTTGAGTGGAGATCCACTAGTTAGCCTAGTAGTAATCCCCTTCTATCTCCTTTAGTGGGGAGAAGATGCCAGCCTAGAAGGGTTTGCTGGAGCCTGTGTGTTTTGAATAGCCAGGGGTAATAGAGCAGAGGATTAGGCTTTTCATAGTTATGCACTTTTTTTTTTTTTTTTTGCAGGCTGCACCTATTATTTCCTGTGCGAGCCCCCAGATCCGTCTCCCAGGGAGACAGAACCAGGCAGGCAGACATTTGTAATGGAGTTTTTACTCTCCTCCAGAGGTTCCCCAGGCACAAAAGAGGGCATGTGATCCCAGGTTAGCCCATGAAGTGTACTGAGGGGCAAAGGCTGCAGGGGAGGGGCATCTGTGTTTTATGCTAGGGCTAAGTGCAACCCATTTCCCCGCAAATGGCAGTGGAGGACATGGGGCCTTTTTAATATGTACATATAAAGGGTTACATGGAGGGCCTTAGGAGGTGCTTGTAAATGACATGATCAAATGCCTTTGAATTGACAGGCACCAATAAAATAATGGCACTGTCTCCCCAAGTCCAGTGCTTCTCAAGTTGTCTAACGTACTAATTAAAACCTGGTACTTGTAATTTATAACAGCACTGCTTTGTTCTCTGCTGATAAAAGAATTAAATCTACTCACGTTTAACATGTCCAATAAATACTGGGCTGAAATTTGATAACCATCATTGTTAAACTATAAAACTGATCTCCACATTTTAAAATCTAATTTATCTACTTTTTTAATTAAAAAACCCCCAAGCCTAAATTAACAGACTCCTTCACTGACAGGGAGAAAAAATGCTTTCTTTTCAGAAAACCTCATCTGTAAATCTTCATTTTTGAGTCTCTTATTATTATCTGGGCATTACCTCTTAGTTACTTAGAGTGCAAACAGCTCATTTTTTGAGATTGGAACTGTTAAAAAGTAAAAATTCTTCACATGAAATCCTCAGAAGATGAACTTACTATTTTTTTAAATCAAATGTTTTGACTCCTGCACTAAGCTATTAAAAAAAAGTGAATTGGTTTTATGTTCACATTTTAAGGCAACGTTAATAAACAATGATGCAAAAGTACATTCTTCATAAAAATAGAAACATAATTGACAGACAATTCAAACCTTGCTCTATAATGCCAGTAAAATACGAAATGTGCAGACTGAAGGCAGTCAGAATGAAATCACCATCTTTTGGATGCACTTGTCAATTGCATCCTTTTTTGTGAACCACAGCCTTCTCAAATCTAATTACCAGGCAGAGAAGCATTGAGACAAGTGTTAAACTCTCTAATGTTTAATCTAACTTTCTGATTCTCTTCTGATGCAATCAAAATAAGATTATCCACAAGTCTCTTCAAAGGTTTGACTGTGCAAGTGAAGATGATTTA